ATTAGAGAGCAAGAGATGCTTCTAGCTGGAGAGATCTGGGAAATTTTTATGGAGGTATCTTTAACTTTCTCTTAATTCATTTAATAAACTCTTGTTGATGTTTACCTCATGCTAGGAAAATATTTATTTTCTGTGAAGTTATCTAAGTAAGCTGAAAATCAGAGAATGGGCTCTATCTGATGATGAATAATCACACAAATAAATTAACCTCAGCGGTCCTAGCCACATTGTGACAGTTCAGTGTCACGTGTGGCTACTGTATTGGATGTTTGCCTCGTGGCAGAAGATTCTATCGGACAGGGTTGTTCTAAAGCAGTAGTTCTCAGCTGGCGGTGATTTACAAATCCTCACTGCAGCGTAATCTAGCCATTTTGTTTTCTACACTTGGGCATGGGAGGGGCCTACTGGTATCTCCAGGGATGCTTCCAGATATTACAGTGCAGGGCACCTCCCCAACAGTTAACAGTTCAAAAATGTTAACAGTGCCAACGTTGAGAAGCCCCTTCCTAAAGCAATAATGTCTAAATCTGGCTAGCACTATATCCAAAAAGCAAACCAATCACCCACCCAGCTTTATATGTTTAAGGTATAAATATGTTACTTTGCGAAGTTTATGTGTGGTAGTATGATTGCTGTTGTAGTGATATGTTCCATCTTCCATAATTATAGTGCCATATTATTGGCTATATTCACATGCTTGCCTTACAACCCAAAGTCTTTTTCACTGTTCTATCCTAGCTGGCTAGCTTTTAAAAAAATCCACCTACCCCAACTTTCAGCCCTAAGATTCTGATTAAGGAAGTAGAAAGAGAATCTGAGGATCTGGTTGTTCAAGTAGTTCTTTTAATTGGCTAGATTCTAGAACTATTGTGTTGTTAAAAAGGACGGACTCTCAGTTCTTAATTCAGAAGAAAATCACCTGGCAAACATTAACAGTACTCCCAGAATACATTGCTGTCTCCAAGGCCATTACCTCTTCTGTTTAATTTCTCTAATCACCTACTTCTCAATTAATGGGGTCATTAAGCACTTAAGACTTGCATTAATTTCCCTTCTCTTTTTTTTAATTCTTTCATTCTGCATAAATCCAATTGCAAATGATTACATCTTGTTAAATATTGTACACTTTCTGTTTACAAACAGAACAAATGACCTAGAAAATGTTTGGCAGCTGTCTTTGTTTGCGGGTGCTTATTGGGAAATAGCTGAGCACACAGGCCTGCAGGAGGGAGGTGTTGCACTTACCCCTTACCACCACCCCCTCCCTTACCTCCGGCTAACTTAATGCATGAAAAAGGAGTTCATTTTACATGGTTAAAAGGTACATTCTTTAAGGTCAATATGAATCTGCTGAACTTAGTTAAGAAAGTATTTAAATGAATTAACTTTAGTTTTTAAGGCTTTCTCCTCGCCCCCCCCACCCCACTTTCTATCACACTGTGGTCAAGTTATAGGAGGAATATAGGGGAGCCAAATAAGACATTAGGGGGGGAAATAATTACAATACAAAACACGACAAAACAAAAACAGACAATTATAAACCGGAGACATCCTGCAGGGGAGGAGGAGGGAGAGGGATCAGAGGGAGGCAGGGAGGAGCACAGGGGGCTGAGGTGATGGTGCACAGGTGCCTTGGGGAAGGACACTCTTTGGGGACTACACCTGAGGTGGAGGGAGTGGGGGAAGCAAACATTGTTTAAAAATGAAAACGTGATGTAAAAATTATATAAATAAGTAATAGTAGAATTAAAAAAAGGAAAAGAACAGCTCTTAAGAAACTTAAAAGGTACTATAATGTAGTCATGGAAATGAGGCATAAACATAAGTAACTACAAGAACAGGTGTTAAATATTCTAAAAGGCTGCATATTTGAGAGGAAGAGCTGCTTCTGGCTGGTGAGATCTGGGAATTTTTCACTCAAGCAGCAGCTTCTTGTGCTTCCCCATGAATAGTCCGCTGATAGTTACCTTCAGGCTAGCTTCAACATCTTAGGAGTCGGGGATCAGCAGGCACAGTTCTACGCAAGGAATTTTAATTCCTAGGGATTGGTCAGCAATCAGTTATTTATTGTGTCCTACTGTGTGCCGGACCATATAGAGATAGGCAATGATGATTCAAAGTGATGTGTTAAGATAGGTGTAGGACATGGTCCAATTAATTACTGACTGGTGTTTTTATTACCCCAATTCTCCTCCCTGAGCACAGGCATTACTCTGACCTCATTTGCAAGGCCAGGTTCATAGGGCACTCCTTCATCCTCAGCAATAATCTCACCGTGACAGTGATTTTAGTGCAGCTCTTGTTATATTTTGTAACCATAGTGGATCACAAGTATTCATTCTGGCATCCTCCAAATAATCTTTAAAGGATTGTTCCTTAGAAACCACCGATAGGGTCTCAGTTTGTTAATTTCTCTGACAAGGTTTTCTGATAGAATATGTAATGACTTGTCTGTATCAATTTTGAGATTATTCAGGAATATGATCACCATTAAAATACACCATATAGTGTATTTTGTTGTCAGAAGTTCATAGCGTGACTGTAATTTTAAATTATAAGACATTTCAAGCACACTGAAAGTTCAGAAAATACTGTAACAGACACAGATATATGCTCCCCACAAAACATAAATGACAGTAACATTTTACTTTTTTTTAACTTTCAGTCTGTTATATTCTCTGGGAAACAACTGAAATAAAATATTAATGAAATAGCAAAAAATAGCTAAAGTCCCTTTGGCACCCTCCCCCAGTTCTTTCAGGCTCCCTTCCTCTCAGAGGAAGACATTATCTTGAGGTTGGTAAATTGACATTCAAGCTCTTATGTATTAAGTGAGAATTAAAAATTTTAGTTGAAAATTAAAATGTTAATAATACAATTTTTAATGGCCACATACTCACCTGTTATATGACTTGAATTCTTTATATTTGGACCTTTATGTCCCTTCTAGCTTATGCTATTATGACCAATGCTGTACTGAATGTGCTTGTAACTAAATATTTGCACATGACCATAAAAATTTCCTTAAGGTTAATTACAGGAGGGTGGGAGAATTATTGGAGAATGCCAAGGCAAAGGATATGAAAGCAATTGTAAGGCTTCAGCCTAATGCAGTTTTCAAATTTTCTCAATTCATACTTGGACCACAAATGTATGACAGTGTCTGCTCTCACATGTCCTTGTTAACACTTGATGTTATTGAATAAAAAAAGGTTTAATTACATCTCAAGTAGAATGATTCTCTCACTTCCCTCAGGAAGTGGGAGAATCTGAACACACATGTCTGGGCATTGGGGGTGATTCATGCTGCCTCCTGGTGGCATTTAAAAAACCAACAAGACAGAAATGACAGTCAAACCAAAGAGACAGAACAAGTCAGCAAGTGTTAATTTATTTAGGGCTAACATTCTAGAGGGTGGGTGGTAAAACAGAATATTTAGGATATTGGAGATATGGGAACTAGAGGAAGGCTTTTCTTACAAGTACAGCTTGTGGCATCACCCACAAAGTGCATTTGGAGATGACTTAGTAAACTGAACGATCGTAAAAGAACATGAATGTCTAAACTGCAGACAGTGAGGTGGGATCACATGTAGCTTCCTTAAAGGAGGGCATGGGGACTACAACATTGTACAATTTAGTATTGATTTCTCCATCTAGAGGTAAAGACAATGAGACAGAAAAAGATTAAGAAACGTGCCCAGTGTCATAGTCTAGGGTAATCGTTCACTGAGAAGAAGACTGTTAACAGTAGTTATTCACTCTGCACTTTAAATTGCTTTGGTGAAGCAGGTTGATTTTGACTTTGGTATTCGTGTGTGCAAACCATTGTGTTCCTTACTAGGGTCAGAGGAGGAAAGGAAAAGGAAAAGAGCTGAAAAGACAAAGGATACATTTCCCCTAAAAGGAGTTATGAATCCACTGCTGTTTTCTAAATTTCCTCCCTCTGCTCTGCTCCCCTGTTGCTGGGTAACCTCATCTACTGCCAGGACTCAAATACCACCTCCTCAGTAATGCATTTGCTCATTCAACCTTCCATTTCAAGATTCACTGATGAATCCCTATGAAACCTGATATTGTGGGAGATACAGATATTATATAAACATGTAACAAATGTGTTTACATATTATAGCAGGAACAAAGTTTAGGTTACAATGAAAAAACAATAATAAAATTATTTGCTCTCATATCCTTAATGTTCTTATCGCTAATGAGTGAGTTATAAAGTGAGGACTTGACTTGATTCTTTAATCTTTATTTTTTAGTGCTAAAATTAGAGACTTCCTGGCTTGAAAAAGTATTTTCAAATAGAATTGTCTACTGTCTGAGCTTTTGGGAAGTTTAACAAAAAGGCTTTATCAAAAAATTACCAAATTAAATATTATTCTTACCTTAAATATGCTTACTTAACAGATATGCTCAGAAAATATATTCTTAATTTTAACAAACCTTTCAAAAGCTGTTTTTCTTTTTTCATTAAGGTATAACATACACAAAGTGCATTCATCCTAAGTGTATCTATCAATGACCTTTTAAAATGAAGACTGTGGTAGCAAAGAATTGTTTAATAAACATCTTTATTTTGTAATGTGTCAGGCGTCAAAGATCTGGTGAATTCAATGTCTGAAAAATGTCTGTAAGCAACCTAAGTGAAAGTGAATTGTCAAAGTGAATTCTCATTTTCAGATCATTTAGCTAAACCTGACTGATTCTGTCAGAACAAGTCTGACTTTATTTTTCATTTCAAATCAACATGTTAGCAAGCATCTCTATGATAACCATCTTATTTCTGAATTCTAAGATCGATTGCAAAATAATGAAAGAGCCCTTGCCGCAAGTTTGTAGTCTGAATGAAATAAAGCACCTCTGCTTTGAAAGCCACCTGCCTCCATTTTTGGGTTTGCTCTAATAAAGGAGCGCAAATACCACGCACACAGCCAGGCATCTGCTCAACAAAGGCCATCACTTTCACTGATCTGCGAGGTCACTGGGTCTCCTGGGTTTCCTTCCACCTTGGGCAGGTCACAGGATGGGTCTGTCAGTAGTGTCTGCAACCCCAGCACAACCAGGTAAGTGGGCTGTCCCCACCTCAGTGCCAGCATCAGGCAGGTGCACACCTGACACCCCAGTAGGCCCTCCCAGAGCGCCCAGCGCCATCCTCCCCTAAACCTTACCCCACGTCCCACCCCACACGAGGCTTTAATCAGGCCGGGCCTGCAGGTTTAATCAGCGGATCCACCTTCAGCTTGGCGCGCAGGCCGGGCACAGCCGAGCTTTGGGCGGCAAAACTGGGCGCACCTGGTGCGCGGGCCCGGCGTCCACACTCTGCGCATGCGCCGCCGGAAATCCAAGCGGCGCGACCAGGCCCCGCGGGCCGCCGGCCATCTTGAGCTGAGGCCTGCGTGGAGCCCGCGGAAGAACCGTCAGCCGACCGCGCCGGGGCGTCTCTGTAACTCGGAATCTGCTCTGGACGGTATTGCTCTCAGGGGCGTCCGCCCCACCCCCTTTTATCGCTGGAACCATTGTTGTTTCAGAAGTGGGCGCCAGCCCTTGGTGATGGGGTCCCCTCAGCCATGGCTTGGGGCGTCCTACCCGCCCCTAATGGCGTTTGACCCTGGGTCGCCCCTTGGGTGCCGGTACCGCGACCTGGACATGTGGGGTTCACAGAGAGGGGGTCCTCCGGGGTGGGTTCAGTGAGGACGGAGACTGTTACTGGGTTCTTTTTAATTTAATTTTTTTTTTTTTTTTTTTGGTGGAGTTCAAAAGACAGTCGCAGTAGGAAAGTGCCTATTCCGACATTTATTTTAGTCTTAACTGTAATGTTTTAACACACTTTCAAAAATAACTTACTTTTTGGAATTAAAGCTAAACACAAGCCCTGCATTTGCAGCCTTTCCTAAACAGAAGATAAAGTTAACTCCCCTTCCCTTTTCCTTAATTTAGCTGTTAAACGCGACTCTTCCACACCATCTCTTCGTAGGCAAACGCATTCGTCTGTATGTGGGGTGCCTTGTTGGTTCACTGGACCCGTCGCTCTGACACTCCCGGCCCCAACTTAACAGGAGTCCTAGACCTACTCGTCAGAGCTAGTAAGTGTGAATGTTACATAGACATGCTGTTTTTTAGTCATAATTAAGAGACTGCAAGAAAGGCTTTATGATTTAGTCTGCTGTCCACTGGTAAATATTTAGGTTGTGGGGGGAGGGTGTGTGTGTGTGAGTGTGTAGGTCTCAGCTTTACTGAAGCATAACTGAAGTACAAACTCCCCACAAAGGGAACAGTTGGCTGACACTTGAAACATATATACACCCATGAAATTATTATAAGAAGTGAGTAGTTTATTGACACTTGACACCCATCAAAACAATTTTCATTATACAGCACACAACCATTGTGTATGTATGTATATGTGTGTGTGTATGTATATACACATGATTATTTAGATTTGGATAGTTCAGACATTTATCAAAAATGAGTGTGCACTTGCAATTATGGATTATATGATCTGTCACACATGTAAGAGATGTCTCAATAAGTCATATTTTGAAAAACTACATCATAAAACCAAATAGAAGCTCTTTTTACATCAAGCAGCAAATTGTAAGAGCTTTTTTCTGATCATTCCAAAAGGGATAGTTAATTGAGAGAGAAATTTCAAATAGAAGTGATGAAAAAAATGAGTGAAGCTAGCTTGTCTCTTTAAGGAAAACTGACAGTTGTTGTCAGTGATAAAATTAAAGTTTTAAAGCCCAGAATAGAAAGCTGGAGAAGTAATGTCCGCCACTGCCAGCTTGATGACTTCCCAATATTTCAGAGTTTTCTGACAAGGCTTCAGACCATGTCTAGGCATACTTCTGGCTGCTTTTTTTTTTTTTGCTTGTTTTTTTTAAAGATTTTATTTATTTATTTATACGAGCACTGGGTATAGTCAGAAGGGCAGGAGGGTGAGAGAATTCACCAGCGCAGAGAACAGAATAGGCAGACTGACGAAGTACACTGCTGAGGGGAGCAGCGGGCACCCCATGTGGGACCCTCGCCCATTGTCTGGGGATCGAACAGGCTCTTCAGAGACTGTGGGCAGCTTCGCAACCCAGCACTCAACCGCTGCGCCCCCAGGAGGCCCTGGCTGGGTTTTTAATACAACTCCCTGGTGTTGCTTTCAAGCACACTCCCACTGTATTAGATTGAGCCTGAGAAGGGTGGAGCGGGGAGCCTTGCCATTCTGTGCTTTGTAGTCTTTAGTTGTGCAGCTGTCTACCTGGCTCACCCCAGCAGTTTCACATGATCTCCCACAGTTAGATCCACACTAAGCAACACTACAACCACCGCCCCTCCCGCCCTATCATGGGAGCACAGGTTTGAATTGTGCAGTTTCTGCCTTGGCCACTTTTTCCAGGTGCCTCCCACCTTGCTGGCTACCCTTGTTGGTGGAGTTGCATTTTCTCAGGGTTCCTTCTGTTGCTAATGGTCAGCACTGAACCCTGAGATCAGGAGGTGCTCTAGTTTTGCCCTACATCATGGGATCCTCTCAGTCTATTGCCCCTCTGGAACACTTTAGATTATTCTCCTGTGAGCAGAACAGGGAACCCCCTTTTAACACCAATTTACCTCCAAAACTTTAAAAGTAATCTTTTGGTTTTCATTTTCGTGGAATATCTTTTTTCATCCCTTCACTTTAATTGTGTGTCCTTATATCTGAATTGATTCTCTTACAGGCAGCATATAGCTGTTTCCTTGTTTTATTTTTAAAAATCTGTTCAGCCACTCTCTTGTTTGGAGAATTTAGTTCTTTTTAATTTAAAGGAATTATTTATATGTATTTACTATGCTTTGTTAATTGATTTCTGACTGTTTTGTAATTCCTCCCTTCCTTTTTATTTGTAGTTTGATGACTTTTTTTATTGGTATGCTTAGAATCTCTTTTTCTTTGGTGTATTTATGATAGTCTTTTACTTTGGTTACCATGAAATTTAAACAGAATAAATTATAATTTACAATAGTCCATTTTAAATGGATAATAATTTAGATGTGAATGCATTTTAAAACACTACATTTTTACTCCCTCTCCCTGCATACAACTTATGTTTTTGATGCTAACATTTGCAACTTTTTATCTTATATATTCCTTAACTAATAATTGATTATTTATAGTACTTTGTTTTTTAAACTTTATACTAACATTCTTAGTAAATACATCTTTACCGTTTATTTACTTTTACTAGTGAGATTTGCTTTTACTGGTGAGAATCAGAAATTTAGTGTAGGAAAGGGCTTTCTTACCAATTTTAATAGTGTTTGTAGATTGAATTTCGCACAAACCTTAGAACTCTGATGCTGTGAATTTTTCATTTTAATTCAGAAGTTTGTGACTTTTATTGATTCTCTGTGTATCTGATCCTCTATAGTTATGGAGCTATTGAATGTCTCTGAGTGTGTTTATCTCAATACCAAACAAAAAATAATGTAAATTATATAATGAGAGCTTCTATAAAACCAGAATTAATCAGTATTAATCAGAATGGCTTTATCATTTTCACTTACTAACTTTATAACAAGTTGTATAAATTTATGAAATTATTATCATGGCATTTTTGAATTCTATTGTAGATATTTTATGTTTTCTATTTTTTTCAACTTATGTGGTTTATGAGATTCCTGTTGTCAGAAAATGGCTTGTAAAACCCTAATTTGATTCAGCCCTCTCACTTTTCAGATTTAGAATCTGATTCTAAGAAAAAACAGGTCCCTAAATTTCACACAATTGATTGAATCTCAAGTAAAACTCACGTTTCCTGTGTGTACAGAGTAAGTACTTTCTATGAATATAGTAATTGTAAGAAATATATTGAGTAAAGGCAGTTGGATCTGAAACATCCTGATTTAAATGAAAATTTTAATATAATTACCTATTGTATAAAATGATTGTTTTTTCCCTTTAGTTTTCTCTGAATTATAACACTCTGATCTCCAAATATGCAAGGTTAGGAGTTTTATCTGATATTGGGAACTTCCTTTATCATCCTATTGAGTAAGCATTGGAGAGACAGGTGAAGGAAGCTAATTGACATCCACAGAAAGGTTATTCTATCTACCTGCTTAAAAGTCTTTTTCATAGTGAGGCCCTTTGGTGAGCATCATGGGACTTGCACATTTCTTTTATGTGTCAGTTTTTAGAGGCTCATCCACATTCCTCTTCTTCAGATTTCTTTGTAATAAATCCTACAGTCTTGCTCCTTTAGAATAGCTAATCATCCGGAAGAAATGGTTAGCTATTGTCCATTAATATATATTGATTCTTAACTCAAGCAATTTTTTTCTTCATGTAAAGTTGATGTACCAGTAGGTTTATCAGTTGCAGATATTTCCGTTCTTAGATAAGGCTGTCTTTGGATTGGTGTGTAATGCCTCAGTGGTCTATTTCTAGATGTTACTGCCATTAGGTAAGATTAGCATTAGATGAGAGCAGTGTGCAAAGTAGGCTCAGGTTTGTTCTTGTGCTGTGAAAGTCCCCTAAGGCCCATTGTATGGATTGAGGAAGGAATAGCTTTGTGGAGGAGTAGGTTTCTGGTAGTTTGAGTGGCCTGATCATGCCACTTCCTTCTGTCTGTAGACTTTCTCTGGCTTATATGCTTATGTATACTCCATACACCGTCTTCATAGGGCCATATCTGCTTTTATACACCTAAAAAGAGTGTTGTGGTTCCTGAACGATTATTTATTCCCTTTCCCATTTACCCATGTTAGTGGGCACATGTTCTTTCGGGTGATCCCCAAGAATGTTTTTGGTATATTCAGAACATGATTTCTTTCTTAAGAGTTCCTGGTCTTCACTTTGTGTAAGGAATTGTGGTCTGTAAAGTGACTAAAGTCTGGGAATTGGATGAAGCCAATGACTTTAAATAATGGTGTCATAAGGACCTGTTTTTCCCTGAAGTTTTTTGGTTTATTCTAATGAAAGTCTTTAGTGTTTTAACACAGATTTTATTCTTAGATTCCAGGATCAACTAAGCATAGCCTAGGATCGCAGTAGATTAGATCATGCAGATTACTGCACAAAATTAGTTACCGAGGTGGAAATAAAAAGCATAGTCAGTACCCAGATGTCATCTTCAGTCTTTTCTTTCTGTAGCTTTTTAATGCCCTGTTTGGGTTTGTGGACTTGAATTTTATGTCTTAGAAAAGACTTATGTCCTGTTATTTTATCTTGCTGAGATAACATTTATACCTTTGTAAGACTTTCTACTCTGATCTTTATACTCTTACATCATTTTATCCGCTTTCTCTGAGTTTTGGGGTATTTTCTAACAATTCTCTACTCTACTTGTCTTTATTTGTAGTGACTTTCCCTATTGCAGTTTTAAATTCACCATATGTGTATAGTTCTATCTACTTTTAATCATTGCCTCATAGTGACTATTTAGTCATATAAAAATGCATTATTTTCTTTGACTGTTTTGAAAACAGGAGACAGATTTTTGAAAGCAATTCTTTGCTGTTTCCTTCAATACATTCATTCCTTGCTTTCTTTTAAGTGGTTCTCTCATAATTTTAGGCCCTGTTTGTATAATCCTCACAGAAAAAAAATTGAGGGCCTCCCCTGGTGGCGCAGCAGTTGAGCGCTGGGCTGCGAAACTGCCCGCAGCCTCTGTAGCGCTGGTTCGATCCCCAACCACAGGCGAGGGTCCCACATGGCGCGACAGACCTCTCTTGCCACATCCACTGCTCCCCTCAGCAGTGTATTTCGTCAGTCTGCCTGTTCTGTTTCCCACTCTGGTGAATTCTCTCACGTTGCCGCGCTTCTGACTGTACCCAGTGCTTATATAAATAAATAAATAAATATTAAAAAGAAAAAAAATTGATACCTGCCAACTATTAACTCATAGTCAAGTAGGAGTTGAGCTATGTCATATCACAGTAGATATTGTTGAGTGAATTTGCATAATACTTTATACTTTTTGAATTTTTCCCTTATTTTTTTAATTTATTTTAAAAGATTTATTTATTTATACAAGCACTGGGGTACAGGCCAGAGGCACAGCAGGGTGAGAGAATTCACCAGAGACAGAGCAGGGAGCAGAACAGGCAGACGGACGAAAGCACTGCTGAGGGGAGCAGCAGGCATGACATGTGGCAATCTCCCTGGCTGGCCGGGAATCAAACCAGTGTTGCAGAGGCTGCGGTAGCTTCACAGTGCTGCACTAAACCTGCTGCGCCACCTGGGAGGCCCTCCCTTATTTTTAAAATCCCAACTAGAGTAACTTAGCTTGAGTCATAGTTATAGTAGAGAGCTTTGCCTTTATGCTAAAGATTACTTCCTCTTCCCACCACAGTTTTGGTAACCAGTTATGCCATCGACAAGGTCCACATGTATTTAATCTACCTCAGAGTCTTTCATGTTTGCCTTTCCTTTGTGTGGTGTTCAGGACCTAACCTGATTAAAGAAGAATCCTGGAGTTGTGTAGTGACAGGGTCCAGATATTGCTAATTGACATAGACTGGGGAGAACAGTGTGTCCCCTGTTGATTCACCATTTGCACTTGTTTCTAGCATTCCCTTTGAGTTTTGGGTTGTCAGAAGGAGTCTGCATGAGGGAAAGTAGTTTTCTCACAGTGGGAGAAAGACTTTAGTGGACTTTGTTTGGCTTCTTCCTTCTATTATATCACATCTCTCCACCCAATATCTAGTAGAAATTTGTTGGTTTCTGGAAAATTAAGATTTTACTTTGTTTTCCAGTGACTCTATATTATTTCCCTATTTTTTTGTCATCTCTTGATTACGTCAGTAGAATTTTGGAAGTGTGGAAGGCACTGAGCAGTTTAAATGCCATCTTGTCCAGTGTATATAATTTTTCCAGCATGTTAAATTTGTTAAATATTGGTGCAGAATTATTTTTCAAGTTTATATTTACATATTTAATTTTCATAATTGTCCAGAAGCTAATAAGTATTTGTTATTTGTTTTTTTAGAAAATGGAGTCTGTGTCTCCGTTACAAACATTTTTAGGTATGGATCTAACAATATCACGTATAGAATGTTTCCCTGAGGACATTCTGGTGAAATTTCAAGGCAGAAGTAATACTGAATGTGAGTTTGACTATCACATATTGCAGAGGGAAATACAGCATATTCCCAAAGTAAAAAATAATGTAGACATTGATGATTTTTGTTTGGTAGAAGAAAGAGCATCTGGAGAATGGGAGAGAGGAAGAGTTGTGGAAAAGAAAAATGAACTCTATACTGTGCTCCTCATAGATAGTGGAGAAGAACGAAGAGTTGATAGCACACAGGTTGCTTCAGCCTGTGGCAACTTATTTGAGCTGCCACCACGGATGGTATTTGGTATTTTTACCAACATACTGCCAGTTGGGGAAAAATGGTCCCCTAAGGCTTTGAATTATTTCAAGTCTTTAGTAGGACTGCAAGTGAAAGGTTATGCACAAGCTATTTTGCCTCTTCAGATGATTCTTCTTGAAGTGCCCAAAATTATATCCCAGGTTCTTGAATTACAGTTAGGAAGACTTATTGATGGGGATTCATTTTATCTTATTGTGGAAATGTTAAAAGAATTCCCGCAACAAAAGCCGGATTTATTACAGCATGGAAGACCTGAATTGTCATTAAATAATAAAGACACTTTACTTGATATTCAACACATTCTGGATAATTTGCAGCCATCATTGTCAGTAGGTCATATTGGAAGTGTAAAAGTATCATCTGCATTGAGCCCAAGTAAATTCTATTGTCAGTTAACTAAATGGATCCCAGAGTTAGAAAACTTGACAGTGCACATGACTTTGCATTATGATAGTCTCAGTCAAGAAAGTAGTCCCATGTGTGATAATTTCGGATTACTGTGTGTTGCCAAAAGGAGAAATGGACAGTGGCACAGAGGAATTCTTCAGCAGCTGTTGCCCAATAATCAAGTGAAAATTTGGTTTATGGATTATGGCAGTAGTGAGGCTATCCCCTCAATTTATGTAAAGAAACTTAAGCAGGATTTTATGTCAGTACCGTTATTTTCATTTCCATGTTCCCTGACATATTTACATAGTCCAGATAGAGATGCAAGAAAATCCCAACTGAATGTATTCAAACGAGCTTTGTTAGGACAGATTGTTTTAGCACACATTGATTGGTTCAGTAAGGATGAGCATTTGTATTATGTGACATTACAAACTCAAGAGTCTATAATTAATTCGAGGTGTCAGAAAACTGTGGGCACACCAGTACTTTGTCCAGTGTCTGATTTAAAAATTTCTAATTGGCTAAAAGAGACTAGTGCTTTTGATATGAACAGCTTTGCAGCCCAGAGTTTTATTGGAAATATTGATTCTCTAAATAAAAAAGATACTTTGAAAGTAGGTTTTCCTATTAAAACTGTAGAAATGGAGGTAGAGGCCACCTACATAGCTTTTGTAGCATATGTCTTAAACCCATCCAATTTCTGGGTACGCACTAATGAACATCAAAATGAATTTCAAGTTATAATGAAAAATATAAACAAATTTTATGACTTGTGTGAAAATGATGACCTGATCCTAAGAAATCCGGAACCTGGGTTGTTTTGTTGTGCTAGGTACAGCAAGGACAGATGTTTTTACAGAGCTGTCATTACTGAAATTAATAGTTATAAGATTAATGTGTACTTTCTGGATTATGGAAATACTGATTCCATACCGTTTTTCGATGTAAAAATTTTGCTTCCAGAGTTTTGTGGATTGCCTGCCTTAGCCATGTGCTGTTCACTTGCACATGTATTTCCTGTTGATGATTTATGGGTAAAGGCTGCAATTGATTATTTTAAAAAAATTGTCTTGAACAAAGAAATTTTGCTTCAAGTTATAGCAAAAAAAGACGACAAGTACACTGTAAATATTCAGAATATTGAAGCCTCTGAAAATATTGATGTTGTCTCTCTTATGTTACAAGCTGGGTATGCAGAATATTGGGAAGTAGAACCAGAATCTGTAAGTGAATATTCAATGTTAAATTTAAAATCTAAAGACAAAGACAATATTAAGGAAGTCACGTCTGCTTTTCTTGAAGTACCTAAATCTAAAATGTACCATTCAAATAAGCTGAAAGAAAGTAACTTAACTTTGTTAAAATCTTCAGCTGTCAATTTCTCAGATTTAAAAAATCCTTTCATCTTGTCTGTGGGACATGAGTCACCATGGCCTTACAAAGAATATTTTTTTAAACCAGGAACAGTCATTGACATTAAGTGTTCTTCTTCTTGTGGCCCAGGTGACTTTTCATGTCAGCTCCAGTGTAAGTTAGAAGATCTAAAATTACTAATGGAACAAATTCAGAATTATTATAGCTTACATCCTGATCCTTTTCAGATTGGGCAGGTTGCTTGTATTGCTAAGTATTCCAAAGACGGGAAGTGGTATAGAGCTGCTATTTTGACTCAAATATCAATAAAGGAAGTTGACATAGTATTTGTTGATTATGGTTACCAGGAAAGAGTTTTAATTAAAGATCTTTGTGCTATTAACCCACGTTTTCTTTTCTTAGAAGCCCAAGCTTTCAGATGTAGTCTTAACCATGTAGTTGATCCAATTAGTCGTAAATTACTCAAGTGGACAAAAGAGGCTTGTAGAGACTTTGGGAACTTTGTTACTTCATCTAGAGGGTTATTGACTTGTGTTATCCACGCCTTAGTTCTTATAAACCCAAACTATCTCTGTAATCTAGTGGATTTACAATCTCCATCTACTAGTGCAGAAGAATTTCTCATTAATCATGGATCTGCACAGTACAGCACATTGTCAAAGCCATTCCCATCTTCAATTCATCTTTACAGTTACTATTATTCTTCCTTTAACATAAAAATTGGAAGTGAGGAAGAAATATATATATCTCACATATATAGTCCCAAAAAGTTTTATTGCCAGCTTAGCAGAAATAATAAAGACCTAGAGATGATAGAATCAAAAATTTCAGAGATTAATAACCTCAAGAATTATAGAAAATGTAATTCTAGTAATATGAGACTGTGCCTATCCAAGTATATGGAGGATGGTCTCTCTTACAGAGGTTTAGCAGTACCAACAGATTCACTCTCTGACTTTCTAGTCTATTTTGTGGACTTTGGAAACAAGCAGTTAGTGGAAGAAAGTATGCTGAGGCCTATTTCAGATCAGTTTCCAGAGTTGCTCCTTACACCTATGCAAGCTATTAAGTGTTTTTTGTCAGATCTTAGAGATGTAGATATTCCAGCAGAAATCAGTAGCTGGTTTGAAGATAATTACTTGGGTAAACCATTAAGGGCCATAATATTATCCAGGGAGTCGGATGGCCAGCTTGGAGTAGAATTGTATGATGGATATCAACATATAAATCAGAAAATTAAAATGTTGCTCCATGCTTATAGAAAAAAGCACTGCAGCCAAACACACTGTGTAGAAAAAGGTGATAAAGTAAATGAGAACAGGAGACATACTCTTTCTTTGAAAGGCAAAGTAGAAAATAGCCATCAGCATAATAGTCTAGTAGCATATTCTGAAAGCAAAATAGATCAATTAATGAATTCCAAAAGTGTATATGCCAGGCTTTTGAAACCATCAGTTTGTTATAAAATTGAACCTGTGCTGAAAAACAAAGTGAAGATGTCTTTGAATGATGGAATTAAAAATAAGTGTGTTAAGATTGTCTCTGGATCTGCACATATTCTTGGTGAACATGATGTGGGCCAGAATTCAGAAAAGGTTGTTTCACAGTCTTTTATCAAAGAATTTAATCAAGCAGCCTCAAGAAACCTGCATAACCTTACAAGACCACAGATTAAAGACCTTCCTCAACCCAAAATTTATTTGAATGCCAAAGTTAAAGGGTATGTTTCTAATATCAGTAATCCAGCAAGTTTCCATATTCAACTTGCTGAAAATGAAAATGTAATCATCAGACTTGCAGATGCTCTAAATGATAGAAGAGCAAATACAATGGAGAGAAAATTAGTTAAACCCATGGTGGGAGATCTTGTTGTTGCAGAATACTCTGGCGATAATGCCATCTACAGAGCAGTTATTAAGAAAATCTTTCCAGAAAATTCTTTTGAAGTGGAATTTATTGACTATGGTAACTCTGCTGTAGTACACATATCTAAAATTTATGAATTTAAGAGGGAGTTCTTGACTGTTCCTCAGCTGGGAATCCATTCTTTTCTTAGTGGAGTCAAATGGAATGAGCCTGATGAAATATGGGACAGCAAAACTGTGGATTATTTTGCATCAAAAGTAAGTAACAGAGCTGTTTCTTGTGAATTTTTGAAAAAACATGAACAAAAATGGGAAGTCAACATAATCTGTGATGAAAAGTATGTCATCAGTGAACTGTTGAAATGGACAGCATGTTCAAAACTACAGAAAACAGTTTTGCAAAGACCTCATGTTGTCTCTCAAAAGGTGAGCTATGGTGAGGAGAGCGAAGTGAAGAAAGGGGGAACCAGTGAACATGGAGGTTCTGTGATCCCTCAGCCATCCAGCCAACACCTGGTTACGATTCCTCTTGAAGCCTTAAAACCTGGACAACTTGAAAAGGCTGAAATACTTTATGTTTCAAAAAGTGGGACATTTTACGTGAAGTTAGATAAAAATAAGACAGTTCTATCAGATTTAACAATATTAATTTCTAGAGAAGTGAAAAAATCCTCTTTTATATCTATGAACAATATTGAGAAAGGCTTAGAGTGCTTGGCAAAATCTAAGAAAACTTTCAAGTGGTATCGATCAAAAGTAGAGAGAAAGTGTGTTGATGAGAAAGTGCTTGTTTTTTTGGTTGATCGTGGTAGGTATGAAATAGTGCCTTTAAATCATACCAAGGTGCTTAGTAATGAAATCAGAAATATTCCAAGACAGGCCGTGCCTTGTAAGTGGATTTGGCTTGAAAATTTTAGGAACATGTCATTTGACTCCATTGTGTGTTTATTTGCTCATTTGGAAATAAATATCCTTTTCCTGAAATACTTAGACACTGCCTGGGAAGTAGAAATTTTGCTAGATGGCTTGTTGCTTTTAGAATATTTAAATACAGTCCTTGTAAAAGAAAACAAACTCAGACCTTCAGAAACTATTTTCAACCTGGAATCTAAGGCTTCAGTGTCATCCTGTACAATAAGGTCATTTACTTGGGCACAGCTCCATAGTGGCGGGCAGTACTCTGGCATTGCCACTGCTGTTTCTGATCCATCCAACTTCTGTGTTCAGTTAGAAGATTTCTTTGACACAATGAAATCTCTTTTTATGTTGCTTTCTGATCTGCCAGAAGATTTGCAGACAGTGCCCCAAGAACACATAATTCCAGGTTCTAGTTGTTTGTTCAAATATGAAATAGAAGATCAGTGGAACAGAGTAGAAATTTCTAAAGTCTCTAATCAGTCTTTAGTTCTTGTATTCATTGACTATGGATTTTCTGTTTACATACCTTATTCCGATATAAAACATCTTAAAGTTGTTCCTGAGGAGCTTTTGAATTTGCCAAGGCTAAGTTATCCGTGTAGCTTATATGGTATCTCACCTGTCAAAGGGGAGCATTGGAATGAAGAAGCAAAATCTGTCTTTCAAGATTTCCTAAGTAAACCAGGCTTAGTTTTTCAGTTCAGGAAACATAGTTTTGAAACAAAAATGAAAGTAGATGTCATTCATGAGAAAAACAGTGTGGCAGATATATTAGTTTCATCTGGTCTTGCACTGTATTCTGAAGATTCAGAACATATTGATGCATTTTCTGCTGGATCTACTAAAACCCAATATAAATCACAGAGTCAGCCTGTTTGTCCATTGTTACATCAAAATGGTTACAAAAGAGAGAATATAAATTATTTATGCCCCGAAAAACAAAAACTGAAAAAGCAGAAGTCTGTAAAGAGGAAAGATGTCTATAAGAAACTCTTAAGAAAAAACCGTATTAGGAAAAGATTATTACATTCCAGAAATTTAACTCTCAGAAAGATTGATAGTGAAAAACAAGATCCCCAACGCACCATTACATTTGGTACATACGCAGCAGCTTCATTTTGGGAATCACCTACTGGCTTGAAGAGCTCCAGTTGCCTCGAAAACATTTTTCAGAAACTACCAACTGAAGGGATGCAGGAGAATAACACAGTGAACCCCAGAACAGCGGGGCAAGCATCACACGTGAATGACAAGACTGTGTCAGAAGAACACTTGAAAGGTAAGTGGCCATTTTAAAAAAGTAGATTCTAGTTTTGATTCTTTAAGTTTGTTATTATGTGCTAAAATTACCCAAATTGAACATGTGATATTATAAGAAAGTTATTAGAAAATCTGAATAGAGGGATAAACTGACAGTGATCACTGGAATTATATGGTGATGCTTTACTTACTACCTATTTTGAAAGGTGACGTTTGAGAATATAGTGGAAGTAGATGATTTTAACCAGATATTCATGCATTTCCTCTAGGACCTAGTTCCTCTACTACCTACATTCCCTGAGGACTATTGGTTATCCTTAAAGAATGACTGTATTTGTTTTGAATGTATTTGGTGAAAAATAGTAGCTTAAAAAGTTTCTGGTGCTGCTGTGCAAGAAACTGAAATATTTAAGACCGTGTATACACATGTGCAGTGTTATATTAGGTTAATGGTTAAATTTCTATTTTGAAGATAGGAATTATGATTTAAGGGACAATTATAGTTCTAAATAAAGCTAGGTATTTTTTCCAGAGTGGGCATATACTACTAACTGATTAAGAGAAGAATATTTTAGTTATGTAATTATGTAATACTGAGGTATACCTTGTTTATGCCTGATTTTGTAACTTTTTTACCTTTATATTGTAGCTTTTAGGAATTAAGTAAAAAAGAAGTTTTGCTTATAGAAGGAATTAAAAAAAAATAACTCTCAATGTAACCCATAATGCTTGCAAACTGGATACAACATAGTTGTTTTTTTCCTTGCTTTTCAGTAGGGGCAGATGAAAGTTCAGATCGTTTATGCATCAGCTTGGCAACAAATGATCCCTAGGATGCCAAATAATCACTCTTGTTGTAGACGCTGTGATCTGTAATAGAAGTGGTAAGCATGGGCCAACTTTTAACATTAACACACTTTAAAGGATGTCATGTCATTCAGCCTGTTTTTCCGAGAGACACTGATTAGAATGTTGTAGAAATTTTATGTGACTGACAATTGCGATTTGATTTCAATAGGAAAAGTAGGTATGCCCCTAAAGTATCTTGAAAATATTTTATATGATAAACTTATTTGCATGTGGTTTCACACTCAATAGATGATCTCATCTTTACCAGTGGCTGTCTTGCATATTTCAGTTGCCTTTCTCACCTAAAGCCTTTTTAAATTAATGTTTTGTAGAGTCGTAATTGCATCCATGGATAATATAGAGTTAATGCTCTATATGCATGTTCCTTGGACAATACAGATGTTTATAGGATTGATACTTATTAAAAGGCTATCCAGGAGAACTCAAACTTCATCCTATGATTTTTTTCTCTCTTTAGTGCCTACCATGGTATTTTTCTTTATTTGATAGTTGGATATATTGGTTTTATATTTTGGTTGCATATTAGTTATGGATATTTGTGACATTCAGGAATGCTGATCTTTAGTGGGGTGGGGCTATAGATAATTTGTCAGTGCCTCTGCTTCTGAATTGGAATATATTTTGGAAGTAAACATTTATTGAGCAAATATAGAGTACTGTTTCGGTGCAGAGTTAGATCCATAAAATTGTACAAGTGTGTAAGAGTCAGTATAAGTCATATAGTTTTGAGAACTAGAGATTTGGTTATTTAAAGACTATTTGGGAAAACTTAGAAATATCGTAAGCTAGGAGAATAATAAATATATCATTCATACATGCACATTGTATGTGTTGCTGTTATCAGTTTTTTGAGTATAGGAAGTGATTTCCAGAAATACTGTTATTTAGTATACTGAAGTTAAAATTTATTCAAGGCATGGAAACTCTCTCTCTCTATATATATATTTTACATTATAAGCTAATCTCCAGTCAATTTACATTTTTGTAATCTAAATTTGAGTACTTTTGTCCTTTCCCCTGAAACCTCACCAGATCTTGAAGATTGTTTCCTACAATTTAGAAGAATTCTCCCATTGGAAAAAGGAATAACTGTACATAATTTCTGTGATTTAGATTTGGGTTTGTTTTTTTTGTTTGTTTTATTTTGGTGTCTTCGAATGATTTGGTTAGTTGAAAAAAAGAAATGACTGAATGCTAGAGTAAGAATTTTTTTTCAGCTCCAATTTAATAACTAAGGACAACTTTTAAACTTTTCAGAGTTCTTTTAACTTCACTTAGGTGTATAATGTTTTGTGTGGAAGAGACTAGAAATAGACAAACTTTACAAATTTAGCATTTAAAATATTAGATACTGTAAAAAAATGACATTTTTATAAGTTAATTCCTAATTTTTTTCCCTATTTGGGCAGATGTCTAATGCAGAAAGTATTTGATAATATGAATAAAATTAGATTTTGTTCTTTTAAGATAAATAGCACTGTTTTTCTTTTCCTTTTCTTTTGAAGATAGATATAAAGAGATTATATATAGTTTCTGCTGTACATTACCTGTTTTATTATGCTATGAATTACAACATGGAGAATTTATGGTAAGATATTTTCAAGTGAAAACAAAACTAGCAGAACATATTCATTTTAGGATTTATTTTTCAGGATTAGATTTTGTAAGGTAGAGGTGATAACAGTAGATGTTAGAGTAATGCTTTTTTCTACTCTAAATCACTTAAATTAACTTATGGGAGTAGAATCTGTTATTTTATGAATATTGATAACAGATTATTAATTTTTGGAAGCATTAGAATATTTCTTATATGAAAATATTTCAAAGTTTAGCATTATCTTAAATTTTCATTTCTTTTTTATTAAGTTGAAGAATGATATTTTAAAACTTAAGTAAAATGTTTTACAAATGTGGGGAAAGCATGATAGAAAAACAACTGGGAATATTGATACTTGGCAGCCCTCCTGCTTCTCTGTGACTATGCGGGTGCTGTTTTCACAAACCATTCTCGTCCCAAAGCAGTGGCAGCAGTGCTCTGCCCACCTGTGTCTGTGCAGTGCAGGTTTTTTTCTTTCTCCTTTTACTGATAAACTTGTCCTTTTAATATGTAAAAATAAAGATTATTGATATTTGTTTTTTAAGCATATTACAATTATGTATTTTCAAGACTGTATTGATATGAAATAATAACACTCAGATTCCAAACTGTTATATAAATATAAAGATAAATTAGTCATTCATATATTCCTCACGTGATCACTTTGATTCAGAATTCTATAATGAGATGCATGAGTCGGTTAAATTTAGTGTCTGATTTTTTTCAAAAATTTTCATTTGTGTGTATTAGCTTAGAACTTCTGTGTGAGGAATATTAGACTCTAATATCCATTAAATCATGTGTTTTATTTTTGTTGAATTTAGTTTATGTACATCCGAGGGAAATTTGTATATTTAATGTTTTGAGTTAAGTTTTCTACAATAAAATATTTTACATATACTCCCCTGAAATCCAAATTTGTGTTTGTTATAAAAGGGTAATATAGTGTTAAATCAGTTATACACGTTCATATTTTGATCATATATTGAATTCTCTTTACATTTTTCCTTGACCAAAGATAGCTCTTGATCACTAAGATTTTTCTCTTCCGTTTAATAGTACTGTATCATTTTATTCTCAAAACAGAGTTCTTCCTTATTATTCATTGTTTCACTAATAAAGGAGTCTTGGATATTTATTTATTTATTTATTTAAATTTTTTTTTGTGTGGGACCCTTGCCGGCAACCGGGGACCGAACTGGTGCTGCAGAGGCTGCGGGCAGCCTCGCAACCCAGCGCTCAACCACTGCGCCACCAGGGGAGGCCCCGAGTCTTGGATATTTAAAGATTATAAATTTCTTTAATCTTTTAATTTGGTCTGTAATTTGAAAATAATTACCTCATGTTTTTAGAAATCTCCAGCATTTTATTTTCTATTTTTGACTTTAGAGTAATTTTTCTTAGAATGGATATTATAACCTAAGTGTATTTAAGATTATAATTGTTTTTTCCCTTTGGCAATGATATATTAACATCTTAGAATGTGAACTGGTGAATTCATTTACTTAGTTTTCTCATAATGTCCTATTAATCAAAATGATCAGTTACTGACTAAAGCTACTATTATCATGTTTTCCATAGCATAATATTTCTGTCTTTATATCCTTGAACATATCTGTGTTTCTGAATATCTTCTTACTACCAAATCATCCTCCTTTACAATCTTGTCATAGTCTCTTATATGGTGTATTAGTCATTAAAGTTTTAGAAGCCACTTTACCAGATGTGGAAGATATAAAAGTCGTGGGTGAGTCATAAAATTCTCGTTCTTGAGATAATTCCATTACAGTGTTGGAAACACTCATTATAATAAAGTGCTATGTATAAAGGCATATAATAGGGGTTTGAGTGTGCCTGACTTTTGGGATTGAGGAACCACTTGAAAAGACTTACAAAATATGATCTATAAACCTTATTCTTTTTTTTAATTTAAATTTTATTTTTATATTCCCCATATAATTACAACCCCCTTATTTTGACCCCAATCCCTCCTTCCCCCCCCCCCATAGAGTGTCTCTGGTTCATAGTTGTTTGTTGATTTTGATATTTTCTTTCTTATAGTTACCTTATTCTTGAAAGACATGTGGTATAGTTTACCAGGGGACTTGGGCAAACACACATGGAGGAAATTTCAGAAAAAGCATTATAGACACGCAAAGTTGACTCATTGTATGAACACAGGCTTTAAAAGAAAAATATTCATTATTTGTAAATCAGTTTTCAATACATATGCAATTACAATTTGAGAATTTTTTTCTCAGTATTTGATGGTTTTGTTTTACTGTTTTTTGACATCCCCTTTTGATGCTGAGAAATCTGCTTTCTGATTAGTGGTTATCTCTTTTTTTATGTGTTCTTTTCTTTCTGGTCCTTTACACCTTCACTTATATTTGGTGTTATAACGTAGTACACCCCTTATTAATATTAATCATTACTTACATTTATCCTGCTTATGACTCTTTGGCATTCCTGAATTTAAATATTGGTGCCTTTTTTCAATTCTCGAAAATTCTCAGCCATTATACCTTTGAATGTGGATTCTTGTCAATGGGTATTTTTCTTTCTTTGCCACTGATTTGACATATGTCAGTTCTTATTGTTCAGTAACTCTTAATATATCTTCCATATGTTAGCTTCTTTGGATTACTTATGGATAGCATTTTTAAATCTCTCTTCTAAAAAAATTTTTTTTTCCGGTAAACTCTGGCTCTGGTACTTGTTTACTTCTGTGGAATAACACTTTCTGTGGTTTCTGGCTTCTCTGGGTTTCTTTTAGTTTCAGCTGCGTGTTTAAAAATATTTTTTTCAGGGCCTTCCCAGTGGCGCAGCAGGTTGAGCACAGCACTGTGAAGCTGTCCGCAGCCTTTGCAGTGCGGGTTCGATCTCAGCCGGCCAGGGAGAAACCCACATGGTGCAGTAGACCTCTCCTGTCGCGCCCGCTGCTCCCCTAAGCAGTGTATTTTGGTCATTCTGCCTGTTCTGCTCCCCGCTCTGTCTCTGGTAAATCCTCTCACCCTCCCGTGCTTCTGGCCTATACCCCAGCTCTTGTATAAAAATAAACAAATCTTTTAAAATAAATAAATAAACTATCTTAAAAATATATTTCACATTTTATAAGCATTTTATATAGGACATATCTGGGGTGTATTTCTGGAATCTGCCTTCCATATTGCTGGAAATGGAAATTCAGGTAGATTTTATTTATAAATGAAGAGCCTTTCATCTACAGAGGAGTGAGCATTTTATATTTCCCTATTTTGTCTTGCAAAAAGAAAATGTGAAGATATGATTAAAAAATTTTCAGTAGGGAGGGAGACTTTCTGAATTATCTGAGTGGGCCCAGAGTAATCATGAACGGTGGCGCAGCGGTTGAGCGCTGGGTTGCGAAGCTGCCCGCAGCCTCTGCAGCGCCAGTGC